AGTACAAAATCTTTTCACACAGTTTGTCGAATCTAGATCCCCAGAGTTCTATAGTAAAGGTTTTAAGTGACAGTGTTAAAGTTTAGGTGACAGCAATATGTAATAAGGGTAAATATTTTGCCCTTTTTTTTCATGAAGCTCAACCCCTTGTAATTTTATTTTTATTTATTCTTTCAAAGTGTAGACATATTAATGAGAAAATTTTAATACACATAGCATTTCCTAGGCCACGAAGGTTTATAACGAATGCTACGGGTTAGTCTCCATCGTTACAAAAAATTTCGATAAAAGTAATAACAAAAGAATAATAATAAGAAAGTTCTGAATACAGTATAAAACAATATATCATAAATAAAAAGCGAACAGATAAAACAAGAAATAAAATAGATATGATTAATTTTGATTAAAAAGTAATGGCCGTACTTTAGATTTAAAGTTCACTGGCGTCAGCATATCTCTCAATTCGGAGGGTAGTTTGTTAATAAATCTGGGAACTAAGTATTCGGTTGTTCTTTCACCGTATATATTATTTGTTGTCGCTCGACTGATTTCGCACACAAGATTCCGAGCAGCTGCCCTTGTATATACATCGTGTGTTTTTTTTTTGTTAAATGTATTGGTGAAAAAGTTTTCTTTCAGTAAATTATATTTAAATTGTGTTTGGATCGGGAGGATTTGACAGTGTCTAAAAAGCCCACTGTCATCGTTATAGAATTGCTTTTTAATTTTTGCTGGAACGATATATTTTTTTTTTAAATATGTGTTAAAGGTACGACCATAACTACTCAATCCATACTGGATATAGGATTCAGCCATTGAGTTGTATAACATTGTACAACTTTTGACTTTAAAGTGTAATCGGTCTTTGAGCAGCGTGATTTTTGCAAGGAACAGTCTGAGTTTATCACATACGTGTTCTATATGGTTACCCCAATTTAGCTTGCTGTCAATAACTAACCCCACATAAGCATGTGTCGTTACGGTTTGTATGGTGGTGCAGTTACATGGATCGTTGAATGACGTGTGTAAGCAGTTGTGGTTGTGTGCACGTATAGGCACAGGCATATAAGAGATTTTAGATACATATATATTTAGTTTGCTAAAAGAAAAAGTTATTGAAGTTTTATAGTTCCTCAGAATAAAAATGTAAGTCGACCGATTTATTTAAAAATCACGGTTGAAATTTAAAATGGTGGCGCTACGGTAGCCTAGTATAAATTTTTAACATAGCACCAAAAGTAATTAGAAAAAGATAAATAATAATACTAATCAAATTACGTAAATAGGTTAGGAGGTTTTGTATACTGACATTTTACTAACTACTTTAGGAAGTCATGAAAATTTTTAAATATTTGAACTCGGCACACTTCATCCCGTCTACAACAGCTATGTTCATATCGTAATTTTTTTGTACGCCAGCGACCTCTTTTCAACTTTCAGTTCCAACTTTCCCCCCATATGAAATGGTTCTCCTTGCCAGGTATGTTTACTTTATGCGTGTATAAAAAGTGTACAAACGTACTGTGTCCTCGAAGGGATAGACTGATAGTACAGTATCACTCACTACCAATAGGATGCAAGTCTATTGAACCAATCAAGTGAACCGAGTACTTTGGAAATTTAAAATAGGTGAATTGGAACCTACCTATATCATAAGGGATATTTAAGCAGGTTAAACAAATAACAATGAAGAAAATAGGATATTACTTATACGGATAGATTATAGAAGGTCAGGATACCTGTAACACGATCAGAACTAACTGCATCAGGAGTTAACAGAATTCACCCATTTTACCGGCTCTCCTTTGCGCTGTCACGAGCATTTATATCGTTTGACATAGGTAAACAGTTATTTCATTGTGATTAAACTATTATGAATACTCTCCTCAGTCTGCTGAGTCGCATTCGACTTTAGATTAAGATATTGCATCTTTTATACTGAACTTATAATATTTTAAAATACTAGTTCGTCTAGAGGTCTAATCCTGATTGATCTTATAATCACGATCATTTGTTCTGAGTTTGCCTGATTTTTTTTTGAAATATCATCATCGTCATCATCTGCCTACCCTTTTCCCAAATGTATTTGGGGTCGGTGCAATGAGTTTTCGTCGTTTCATTGCGAAATGGTTTTGGCTTTTTGGCAACCCTCCATGGGAATCGTTCTTAGTACATGGTATATTTGGGGAATTCCGTCCGTCAGGGTATCAGGGGTTTCGTTTTTAGGTCACACCTGGTTCCTCGACACTTGAGGCAGCGGCGCGCGGTATTATTCGGTTCGAGTTGTATCCAAGGGGATTTCTGCACGAAAAAAGGCGAGAAGGTGTTAACCACAAGTAATTTGAAAATAATGACGGATCGTGGACAAAATAAAACAATATAAAATATACCTTAATCATCAATCAGCTTTATTTATCTTCTTTTAATGTAGTTCGTTTTAACCGTCATTTCCGACAAGTGACAGAGGTAATGCACGGTTTTACATTTCACAAATGCCTAGTTCTTTGCTTTGTCAGTCGTTGTTTTAAAATAATCAAGTTAATACAGTCACTACCTACTTAAAGTTAAGATAGACGTTAAAACATTAGCTAATTGATTATTTTGTAATAATGACAATTTTGCAACTATTGTAGATACCATAAATAAAAACAAAATATTTCGGCGTAAATTAATAATAGAACAAAATATTGTAATTTTAAGGTGTCATGTCCGCAATGCCAGATTAATTTTTTGATTTTTTCTACCACGAAGATTCTCGTGGTAGAAAAAAAAATCGTTATTTGATATGCATTTAATATGAGATATAATTCTATATAAGTAACACACATGACTTGTACCTTTAAAATAAGTACGTTAAAGAAGCCTAATATAATAATAATACGATATCAATGTCACTAAGCTGTTAAACGCAAACGCTTGTAATATTATTGTTTATTTTAGTTACTATTTATTTATTAAAGAAATGATTGTTGTTTGAATAGTGGTAACTAAATACACTTTTGAATTTTGTTTCAGTATACAGTAACGTACAAAGTTTGGTTAGAATCAAATTAAACTTTAATTTTAAACATATTTCATTCATTTGTTTAAAATACACAATATGGCAGGAAGTGATACGTACGCTCTATTCGCATTGCTTTATTGCGTTAATTTCAATTCAAAAGTTAAAAAAAAATAGAAATATATTGGATGCATTATTATCACATTAATTTACGACGTACGTGAGCTTTAAGTAACGGACGCCTACGGAACACTAGCTTCTGCCGTTGCCGATGCAGAAGAGTAATGTATTTTAACTAAAATTATTGGGACACACCAACTTACTACAAATATAACATTAATAATACCTTCGAAAAATTCTCAATTCGTTTTAGTATAAAGTAAGCTTTATGTATCCACGGAACTGGGTCTTTAAGTACTTCATTTGTCATTGTTACAATTAGACACGCATTTATATTTATTTTATAAGTAATTGTAATTTCGATGTTCGAACACAATATTATCGTATACTTAAGTACAGATATAAAATTGAGCTACAAAGTTATCACACGAACTACTTAATAAAAATCTAATAAGTAGTCGTGAAACTGACTGTGTTAAAATAAATAGAAAAAAACTATGAAAATACTTAATTATAAAACACTATAGCAAGAACATGATTATGAACAGTTATTTTTAATGATGATAAAAAGCAAAATACTATAAATATTTATTACACATCGCTAGTTGCTAAAATATAAAGACAAGATAAAAATATAGGTGCGTTGAAATTATAATGTTATAGTAAAATGCATCTACGGGAATGCATTGAGTAGGTATTTAATAAACGACTTGAGTTGTTGTTCTTCCAATCGGCAAGATACAATGGCCCGCTTTGTTATATTATTAAATGGTTTAATTATTTATACTTATACAATTTAAGATAAATTTTTCTACCTATCAATATAGTCATGTTAAATTTTAATAAGATGTAATAAACTTGCCACACGCATCTAAACTAAAATCACGCAGGTGTTTAATTTGATATTTAATAGGAACCTTTTATCTGTATCGTAATTTTCATAAATTTCAATGCACCGAGAAACTTACGATATTTTTCATACTTTACAAGTCTAGACATAAGGACTTTAGAAAGCAAGCTTTGAAGAAATCAGCTTGTAAGTTCAGTAGCGTTATTAATTATTTATGGTGCAAGGTATCTTCTACCTGTTACTTGACACTATATAATGATGTAGTCCAGCCCTGATGATTAAATTATTGAGTTATAGCTATAACAGCTTTAAATTTTTATACTTTCTATCTGTATCATTATGTTGCTGGTAAACTAGGACTACATAGTATTGAATTTACTTAGTGGTAGGATAAAAATGCTTAAGTAATTACAGATAGTGGACTGTAGGTAAGTATGATTCCAATGCTTTTTATAAAATATATAATGTATGTACCATAGAAAGTGCATACACTTAAGTACATCAAACTTAAGTAAGTCAATTGTGGTAATATTTTATTGTTTACATAAAACTTAATGTGAAAAAACAATTAAATCTTCACATACACTTAACGTATTTCAATAGAATAAAGTTTCAGTTGGGTTTATTTGTATGTAAAGCAGCAATTGCAATATCGTTGAGTTTCACCAAAGCATAAGTAACATCGCGCTCAACCAAGACGTAATACAAAGCAAAAAGCACCTTTGTCCCTAAAAACTTTAGATGTTTAGGAGTTGCAGGATTATTTCCTAATTAATATGAAAGCTAGTGCAATGCTATAAAATTAAAGATTTTGTTAACGCCTATTATCATTGTTGGCGAATAAAAACACTTCGATGCTCTTGTCTAATACGTGGGGTAAGCAGGCGCATTCATAAGAGAGTAACAAATTACTAAGTGCTTTTTCTTTTAAAAGCGACAATTCCATTAGAGTCTTATTATCGCTACGTTTAATCGAATAGGCTAGTGAAGGTGCGTGAGCCTATGTTTATCGCTATCACGGTGTGCTAGTCACGCGTACGTCTCTCTAAATCTCTTTTGTAGATGATGAGCAGCGTTCAGAAGACGGTGATGCAGGGTGAGGTGTGTGTGCGGGGTGAAGGTCGGGGGCGGGGGCGCTGCGGCAGCTTGTAGAGGTAACGTTGGCAACACTGCGTCGTTGTCCGGGTGGCAGAAGAACGCAACGCAGTGACGGCCGCGGGCTCGAGCGTAGGCACCCGATGGGACTACTACGCGGTGTACCTGTCGAGTCAAGATGTATTGCATGCACTTTACAGTTATCTTGAGTGGCTGATTTCTGTATGTAACATTATTTGATGACTCATAAATATTTTTACAATGATTTAGAAAAGACGACATTTTGATTGATGGTTATGATTCGAAGTGAACAGTGACGATTGACTACATGTTCTTTGTAACATATGTTCAATCTGATCAATTTTCGTTCATGCTTACTACTGCAGTTAGAAATGGAGTAGTATTACTTAATTACAGTTTGATAAATGAGTTACTTGACCTACACATACTCGTATTTCTATAAAAGACGCCGGGTCTATTTTAAGAGTACCATATTTAAGAACATTTATTTTTGAATATTTATTTAGATTATAGATCAGTGTCTACTCGAGTGGATTCTTCAGGACTACAATATCATAACAGGCAAATCATTTGTACTATTTATAAGTTATAATAGCATCATTAAAAAACCCAGTTATAATCAGCCCAAACATGGTATATATGCTGGAATTTTCTTAGGAATTGACTATCCCACAGACTACTTGATGCAGCAACAAGTTTTACCATGTCATGGAAATACCATCAAAGTAACAGTATACCAAATTTCAGAACAATTGGATCTGTGCATTTTAGTGAGATCCCTTCATTACTTAGGCAGTGAGCTGATCATCTTCAAAATTTGTAGCTAAGAATCAGCTCAATCACATCGGCTTTTGAAGAAAAAATCCGCACTGATAATTTTAAACTTATGATATACTAACAAGTGCGGGTAGAACATTGGCAGTCCAAGCAGCGAGGAACTCTCCTGCCTGAACGAGTATGGCGCCGGGAAGATGACCGACCTTCTGCCACTTGTCGCTGCCATTTAGCTTTACCTGAAATGGAAAAAAAATGTGTAGGTATGTGTCTAAACAGGTAAAAAGCAAAAAGGTTCAATACCTTTTTCGCTTTTGCTTGAGGGACGATTTTTTGTAAGGAAAAACAATTAACTGTTTTTCTTTAGTTCCCTACTTTCAGGTATGTAATGAGATGAATTATATTATCTATATTTAATATATTAAAATGTTCCTGAGCTCAGGCTCAAAAACTCCGATCAAAGCACAATAAGTAGCTGTGTTTTTAAAAAGCATTATTTTTTCCATTAGCCTAATTTAAAACTCTTTAAACTTAAAAACCCATCTTCTAAGATTTATATTTTTTACGCCGTAACTTTAAATCTGCCTATAGATAAGTAAATTAAAGATAATGCCAAAACACCATCACTTATTTTGTTCGATGATTCTACGATGAATTACATTATTTATAAATTATTATTATGACATTAATTACATCACTACATTCTTATTTATAGGAAGTTATTGTGCCTCAATAATTGACATAGTTGACACAACACGAATATACGTAGGAATATCGTTTACAGTCGGTATTCTTACCTCAAGTCCGCCTTCAGAATCCTGAGTTAATAACGTAAATGTGCCGTAATCAGCATGAGCGCCACATCGAGTGTAGTGGACGGCATCGGCCTGGCAACAATAACCTTCGTCTTCTGGCGGAACCGGCGGGTAGTAGAGCAGCCGCATTGTCGAGGGGTTTCTGCCATCAGCAGTCAGCATGCCTGAGTGCGACGCCAATAAAGCTGTCGGAGCTACGCCTGGAAGTATACAAAAAATATTAAATTAAATGATCAACATATCGTAATATTCTTTTATACAAATAGGTTGGCAAAACTAGGAGAATCATTGTTTCCTAACCGGCCATATAGTAGGCGATTAACGATGACAATTGGCAACATCAGATATTCTACTTGTGAGTCACTAACCCCTTTGCTACAGGAAAATCTAACTCTAATAGTAAAGTTTTTTGACCACGTACGTTTGTAGATGCTAACAAAGTCCATAATTGCCTACCCTCAGACGGGCAACTTAGTGGTCTAAAAAAAACTGTATCTTAGCAGGGTTGTACTAACCTACAGCGTAAGCCAGAGCTTGTAGCACAACACGGGATAGATTGGTGAGGTCCTGCGCGAGAGGGATAGCGTGCTGCGTGAACTCGGGCACCTCTTCCTGCGCTGGCATCGAAGCGGCAGACAACGAAGTAATGTTGAAAGAGTGACGTAATTCCTGGCGAAAAGAAAAAAACACACCATAGAATATTCCTTTGTTCTGCAAAAGTTAGTTGTTATTTATAATTTTACATTATTATATTAGTCAAACCAACTAAATTTGTAAATACCATTTATAATCAAGCAAAATAAGCAATATAAATTAAACAAAAAGCAGTTTTTTTTTCTGCCGATCTTTTACAAAGTTACACAAATAAGTATCTGGTTTGCTTTCCATATCTATTATTCTTAAAATAAATAAATACTTTAATGTTCAACTATAGAATGGCCTCTTTGCTAATACTATTTTATAAAATATTTTACATACGAGTATACTCAATACGAGGAAAATAAAATTAAACTTTGAGAACTTCCGCTCATCTAGGGCAACTTGTAAGGACACGTGACATACCTTTGCTGTAGCGTCAAATTGCTCCATTCCTGGTTTGACGTAGCCATGGTTGTTTACAGGGTTCCTCAAGTACTGCGCCTGGCAATTCTCGGGCAGAGCGCAAAAGTTGTCCAAGTCACTGTACACCGCCTTCAACTGAAAAATGACAAGTTTCTAGATTAATATAATAATAATAATAGTAACGTGACGGATTAAGAATACGGAGTGTCACTATCCCTATTCATTCTGCAACATCTGCAGGATAACACACTACTGAAAACTTGAAACAAACCGTATACAAACCCGTCTGGTAAGCGTGGTATAGTAGGATAAAAAATCCTTTCAGTAAATTTATTTAGTTTGGCTTAGGTTTGCCCTTATTACATATACGTGACGTTAAGTTCTACTAAAAGTATAGTGTCTAAAATATACGCGTTTTAATACGCCTATATCTATCCCAAGATGAAAGGGACAAGAAAGTGAGTGTATAATTATGACTTAACAATCTCCTGTGTTGTCTAGAGCGGAGGCGATTCTTTTGTCTGGTGAATTCGAGAAGAATTATTCTGAAACATTATTACTCTATTAGATATTCTAAACTCGAGAAAAAGTTTAGTTTGTCTATTTTTAATTTCTTTCGGTCAATATTAGTAACTTTGCAATAAAAGGTAATGCAGTCCAAGTCGAATGAACCATAAAATACATATAGAACATTTGCAACCGCAAACTATGCAACTACATACGAATATTCTCAGTTCTGTGGTTAGATTTGTAATTCAAGTAGGAAAATCCAAGCCAACCGTGAGGAGGAAGTTAAAACCCAGGAATTCCCTTACACCATACGCAGTGTGATAACTCAAAATGACTGAGAATTTATTTCGTAAGAGAAAGTTTTCTTATCTGATAGATATGAATACGTTCGTATCATATCGAATATGGGATTTTTTTTAGGATTACTAAGTGCGATTTACTTTTTCTTTTTTCATTTTATTATAAATGTTGTAAGGGAGAAAAGGCTTTCGACAGGTATAGTTAAACGTTTTATTAGAAATCTACTAATCACATCTTATTACACAATCTAAAAGCTTGTTCTAGAATGAAAAATAAGAAGAACACGTAAGAAGTTAAAGTTGTAAACAAGGTCCATTATAATATAGGTACTGTTATTGATTACGCCATTATATTAATATAATAATAATGATTACGATTAATTTTAAATAAGGCCTAACCTTGCCCGTTATACATAAGTGGATTCAGAACAATTTTCATGAGTGCTTTATTTCTAGTTTTATTCGACTGACTAATTTTGAACGACCTATTGCTCAATAATAATTAATTAATTATGTATATTAAAATTCTGTTGTAGTAAATTCTGTTGTATAATATTTTAATGTTTATGGGTTTCCAATCACCACCGACAAAAAGCACACATTGTACCGCAGTGCGCCTTACATAAGAATAGGTTGGGCAACGTCTATTGTGATAAGGGATTCTAAGACTTGCCCAGGATTCACAAGATTATCATGTGAAACACGTGTGATTTTAAACATCACTGTGACCTTAGATTGATGCTTTGCTTGAAAATGTTTGGTTGTTTTCCTTTTTCTCAATGTCTTAATGTTAACACTACAAATAATATGAGTAGCCTTGATCTAATAAGTGTGTCAACTCGTCAAGATCTAATGATAAGATTAGCTACATTCCAAATTAAACAGAACAGAATACAATGATTTACCTTGAGGCACCATGCGTCCTTTATATTTGCCTTCACTCCTCAGATATTTTGTGTCTTTTATTTATAATATCATTGGTATATTCTTCATTAGAATATTATAAAGATATCTACGGATTTTTGTTGTAATTTATCACGTTTTAATTTTGAAATGTTATCACTGTAGATTTGATATTTGATATCTCCCTCGCAATTAACTAAGTAATATAGATACTATAGAACAGGACAAAACGTGACTTCAAATAACAGCATTGTGTCTTTTTAATTAAATTCACCTCTCGGGGAGCATGTATGAGAATACACTTTGTCGATTATAAGTGAAAAGGAACAATACAATATTAAAAATAAACTGAGGGTCAGTTTATTTTTAATATTGTATTGTTCCTAATAATAAATAAAACATCGGTTTTTGTCTTTTATTGTCACAAATCAATCACTTCGTGGTCATTGACGTGTCTGATATTTTAAAATATTTTAAGTTCGAGTACACCTCTGATGGAGGTTGTTTTAATAATGTGTCTACTATGTAATGCATTACTTACGAGTAAATGTTTAATTGCATTGGTTTACACTCAACGTAAAGTCAATTCATTACAGCCCCTTCCTTGCTGATAGCTTTCGTAAGCTAAAATATCGTAATTAAAAGTTATTCGAAAAGAGCGCACGTGAGGTTTATTCGATTTTTCTTGAATGGTGTCTCTATGCCTACCTAAATTTATACAGACATATCTTGAAGAGTTTATTGTTTGTAAGGGTGATATAATTTACCAACTAAAAGTAACATTATTTATCAGACTTAGGAATATGAATAGTCCACATTTCGATCGACTTCAATAGTCTTCTTCTACACGAGACTTAAAAATCTTGTTATACTATATACATAGTTATATACTTTTGAATAAGACTTTTATAAGTTTTATTTGAAGTAAGGGTTTTTCAATAATCTTACGTTATAACTAATATATATATATAGAATATATACATATATATAGAGTAGTATAAGTAATAAGAGAGAATATATATATATAGTGCAACCCTTACCTTTTCATCAGCAATGCCATGGTTGACCAACACCGCAAGTCCTTTGGTGCTGAGCGCGTTGAATAGTTGTTGTCCAATGCGTCTCACCACAGATTTCATAGGGCATACATCTGTACCTGAAATACAAAATAAAACTACTTTAAAACATAAAACTTATTTTTGTTAATGTTTGAAATATTTTGCGTTGGGTACGAGCTATTAAGCAGGGTCGCGTCCTGTGAGTAAGTAAGTAGTAGGTATGTAGTTGATTTAATCCCCTGTTGGGAGGCTCAGGTTTTGTAAGCAGATAAGGTTTTATCCGCGTTTTTTTTCTATTGTGGATAACATCTAAATATTTTTACTAATTACTCATTATCAAAAAACTAGCGGTGCTATTGAAATAAAATATGAGCAAATGCTACAAATTGCCCATAGCTTTGGTTATTACTTTGGCACCATTAAATGGTTAGCGATCTGTTGCTTAACAAAAATTAAATTAAATCGAACTATTAGAAGATGAGATTAGCACGCTTATATGTACCTACATATCAAATACAACTTTCTTTATAAGGTTAGAAAGAGGATACTTGACAAACATCTTTTTTCCGCATACACGGAATTACAATTAAGTATACGTTGACCTGAAAGATGTTGCATATAAAATGGCGGTTCACCTCGTCTTGTGCAATATGAATAAAATATACGTCTGTCTATACATGCATTCCGAGTTAGCTGAAGGTCTGGCCATGACACCGTTTCGTCGATGGTACCTATATTCAGTGCCACATTTTGTTGTAAAAACCTCGAAAATGAATGCGGGCTATGCAGTTGTTTAAACGATTTAAATAATATCGTGAAAATCGTGTTTACCTGTGTATTGTGATCTCATCTCGAAAGTACTGAATTGACTTTAAACAATGAGTTACCCCTTTATCGGTTTACTGAATGGTGTTGTTTAAAGATGACGTCATTATTATTAGAGTATTAAACACTAAATACAGACGCTCGCATTAGCTACATTCCAAATTAAACAACAATAGGTCTCTATTTCTCGATTTCTATAAACCTAATCCCATACTCTTCCAAATCCAATAGTTGTTACTTCATGCAAAGTATTATTGAATCACCTTTAAAGAACGGTTTTGAATATATCTGAAGGTAATATCTATACATACTCGTATATAGATGTATCAGAAACAAGCCTTGAAAAGGACGCTGACCTCTACATGTAGAAACTATTTCTCCAATAGCGAGTTAGGATAACAAATAATTAACATAGATATCAGTAAACGCTTTATGCCGCTATTTCTTGGTGTGGAGTATTTAAAGATAAAATAAGATGCTATGTGGCGAATCAGATTCTTTGACGCGTACGTTGCTGGTTAAATTTATAAATAATATAAACTATTGTGAAATAACTTCAGGAAACGCATGTCAAAAGGCAGTATTTATATTAAAAAATCCAAGTCTTTTTAATCGACAGATATTTAATTCATCACTGTTATGACAACAAGTACGAAAGCTCAATAGTAGGTACGCTTAATGTGGAATGAATGTAAAATGAATTATTTCATACGATTAGCAAACCTAAAATTCCGGAAATAGAAAAATCCAAATACTCAAAAACTTTTTTGAAAGAGCGGATATATAAGCCCGTGCATGTCTTTCTAAATTAATAAAATGAATACAGCTATCGAAAGTTTAATTTTCAAACTTATCAAAAATGTAGGAAGATTTACACTTTGAGGAGACAAGATTAAAACAAAAACCATTATCATGATAGTCAGAGGCGGATTAAGTATCAAGAGCGCCCTAGGCAAGCATCTCATCGGCGCCCCCCGCTCCCCCTTACGCCTCTCTAGCCATTTTTTTACGTGTGGCTGCGTGGGTACATACATGGACTGCCCCGCCAAAGGGGTTTGCAGTGGGGCGGTGTATCGGAATAGAACCGACTGACACCACACACTCCGTGTCTGATAGGAGGTATCCGATAACAGCTTTTATTAAGACGCCCGAGCCTTTCTTTTTGGTGACAGTGACCTCACTTGTGCCCCCCAGGCCTGCACTTATGCAGGATAGAAGTCATTTAGCGACCTCCGCCGCCTGAGCCGCCTGCAGTAGCTGGTCCAATACCGGGTCGGGAGAGTTCTAAGCCTCTGCAGGTCCCGGAAATAAGTTTTTTAAATATTGTGTTAGTATGGTGTGCGTTACCCCAGCAAAATAATGTCGAAAATGGTCATTTAAACTTTATAGATAATTAGTTGCTCTCCTTCTGTAATTGTTAGGCACATTTTTAAATTTGTTTCACTTAAACTTTTTTAGTTATTTCAAAAAAACATTTCCTGCTGGAGTAACGTTTGAAACGTTACCGCAGCCAGACATTTTCTTTTTTAATTGTAATATTGAAATAAATTTTAGCTAGATAATTAGTTATCTGGTCTAGGTAAATGTTACAACTTATTTGGTATTTGTATTTTCTTCGGCTGCGAAGTTATTCGAAATCCTGCTGGAGTAACGTTTGTGGGTTTGCTGGATCTCTGAAACGGGTAAGCGGATTGTAAGCATCTTTTGTACATAACTTCTTAAGGATTAGTTTTAATTTGTTCGACAATAAAATAACAAAAATAATGGACCGTTTAAAAATTATTTAGGTAAGTATGAAAACACTTCAATACGTCCTAACACTTTAAATAAGACCTCTAAAGACTTACTTCAAACGTTATTCTATTGCTTGTAACTACCTTCAAATGTATACGAATTTTCGTAAGAATACTATAAGTGACTAAAAAGTTATGATGAAATGTAGCTCTCCACGTTCACGATCACAATGTGCGCGGCCTTTTTAGGCCACCGATAAACCTGTGTGTGGATATATAAACTGAATGTTATGCCAATAATTAGTTGTTTAGTTCAGTTGTCTACCTGTAGAATTTCAGCGTCGTACATATAATAATTTACGAGATAATTAAATAAAAGTCATTAGAAGGTGCAAGTCCGTGGTAATCCGACCATGTTTAGGTGGTTACAAAAAAGCGATCACCCAGTACATTGGGCTGTCTTTTAAAGTGTTTAGTGTAATACACCTTACGATTTCGGTACAGTTGCGTACAGTGTTAAATACATTCAATATTTATTCATTATTATTACCTATTATTTATTTTGTTTTTTTCCTTAATTGATCTTAAGCACTAGTTTCTTTACTTAAAATTTCTTTAGTCTTTTTTACTACCGGAGCTACAATCAACAGAAAATCTGCACTGGTCCGCTAAAATTATAAATATGTAGATACATGTATGAACGATTCACCTGACTGCAATAAATCGAAAATTTAAACCAATAAGAAATCGTTTCATTTCTTTGATTTTTTTTTGTAAAGAAATAACACTAAAGTACTTGTATTTTATTTTGGGGTGTATAGAGCTTAGACTTGAATGCATCAAAATATTTAAAGCAACAAGTCATCTACAATAAGTTAAAATAGACCGAATAGTAGAAGAATACAGTTGTAAATTAGAATGCATCAACATTGCATCGCCCAACAGTCGTATACCTCGTAAGAGTAGGTAATATTGTTCTGTGGTCTATACCGAGAACCGAGAATTATCTATACCTATGTACCTACCGTTAAGCGTTGAGCCCGTGACTGTTGATTTCTGTTAAAAACGAACAGTTGTTGAATGATATTTTGATATAATAACGGTAATTTAATTTATCGAGTGAAAGTGATACATTTTTATAGATAAAATTATTGGTCAGATAATATTTGTCAATCAAGAATCGCTGATAATACATCCTTCGCTAGAACGCGGGAGGGGAGGGGCGAAGGGATACTTTATTGTTTGCAATTTGCATCTAGTGCACTAAACTTGACCCTTAGGCAGATAATATACGTGTTGTAAAGTACGTGTGCGCTTCCGCTTTCTATTTTTGCAAATATTTATCGTATTCTTGAGAGTTCTTCAATATGTGTGTACCTAATTACTAATAATGGGCATTAATGCTAATTCGATTCAATTAAAGTAATTGTCAATTCTTGTCTTAGGATATTAATTACTAATGCTAATATTGAAATTTTGTTCAGGGTGAACAAATTAAAAACGATCATAACTTGTAGGTAGGTATATCACTTATTACTAATTTTACATAAATAATTTATTTTATTATAATTTAACTCACCGCGATTTTGTGATCAAATATTTTATTTTCTCCAACATTATTACAGAAATATTGCAATACAGAGTTTGCGATATGCTAGCCTAAGTCGATTCATCACTTAAAAAAATCCCCATCTATTCACAAAATACCTATTTACAACGCATACGTTACACTCTTCAAAACTTAAATTACCTATACCTACCTTAAAATTAAACTTCAAATAACAAATACTACGCAGGTACCAATTCGATGAACAACTATAAACAATTCACCTAAACATTACGAGAAAACAAAAGCATTCAAAACAATACCTAATCTCCCGGCTGATTACTAATTATGCAATAAACAATCCTAAATAAAAATTATTTAAAAAACATGTAGTTTTTTGTAACACTTATGTACATATCCGTAGTAAACTTACAAATAATATCCTACATATTTTAAAAGCCAGCACAATGTACTGGGTGATCGCTTTTTTGTAACCACCTAAACATGGTCGGGTTACCACGGTCTTGCACCTTCTAATGACTTTTATTTAATTATCTCGTTAATTATTATATGTACGACGCTGAAATTTTACAGGTAGACAACTGAACTAAACAACTAATTATTGGCATAACATTCAGTTTATATATCCTTACACAGGTTTATCGGTGGCCAAAAAAGGCCGCACACATTGTGATCGTGAACGTGGAGAGCTACATTTCATCATAACTTTTTAGTCACTTATAGTATTCTTACGAAAATTCGTATACATTTGAAGGTAGTTACAAGCAATAGAATAACGTTTGAAGTAAGTCTTTAGAGGTCTTATTTAAAGTGTTAGGACGTATTGAAGTGTTTTCATACTTACCTAAATAATTTTTAAACGGTCCATTATTTTTGTTATTTTATTGTCGAACAAATTAAAACTAATCCTTAAGAAGTTATGTACAAAAGATGCTTACAATCCGCTTACCCGTTTCAGAGATCCAGCAAACCC